TCCCACGTTATTAATCGTGATTTTTTTTGGCAATTTCGTGATTAATGGACGCCCCTGAATGCAAAATCCATTCATTTTATTCTAAATATTCTGCAGTTCTGTTTCTTTTTGAGAATTCGAAATGATTTTGTTGTTGTTAATTATAATAATAATGACTTATACTAAAGATTATCAAATTTTTTAATTTGCATATTTATATTTGAAATGTATCAAGATCCACAAATCGTTGGTAAAATATATGAATGTAATATGTATGTTATGCATGCATTAATGTTATATATGTACTATATGCATCATATGCATGCGAAAAATATCTGCAATACTAAAAAAAGTCTCATTGAATGATTTATATCATTCATTTAGTGCAGATATCCCTACTTGCACCATAAATGTTTTCATAACGATGTGATAAAATTAATTCTGAGAGAAAATCGATTTGTATTTGTATTTATTATGAGGAAAAATAATGTATGTAAACTTGTGTATATATTTTCACTTTGTATATAATTGAAGATTTAAATGAATTCCTACAATGGCTAAGTTTATTTTGTTTATAGTGATATATTTTTTATATTTAGTTTTGTTGTAAATATTAGTAAAATATTTATTGATCGAAATAGATAACTTCCTTAAAAAATCAAAATTGAAGAATATAAATTTATTAATTGTAGGTACTCATATATACACATTTCTAATAAAGTTCACTTCGACATAAATTGGATTTATAAATATAGTACTAATAGTATTGTGACTTTGATTATGATATGAAACAAGTGATGATTTACTGTGTAAATTGTAAAAAACATTAGATAATGTTTTTAGAATAAATTTGTAAAAAAAAACTAAAGCAGAGGATTTTTTGTACCATTTTTTGTTGGCATCTACAATATTTAATTTTAGACATTTACTGACAAAATTTAGTTAATATTAAGTTGTGTTCATGGCAATTTTAACACTGCCAATTTATAATAATTTTGTGTGTTATTAAAATACCATTGGATATGTGGTTGTACATCCAGCGAGACTCTAAATGTGTTCATAAATAAATTAATTGGTATTAGAAGTGAACAAAATGTAAAAGGATGCTAAGATTTACATTAAGTTGGGACAAACTTAAATACATGTGTATAAAAGTTGAATATTTTTGTGACTTATGTAATATGCCCTTATAACATTTAATTCATGAATGTGATAATAATAAGAATATTTTATGCCAATAAATCTTAATAGAAGTTAATCCTAATTTTATTTGCTTGAATTACCAGAAATAATTTTTCGAGGTGATAAAGATAATAAAAATAATATTTACAAGAAACCACTTTTAAGGTAAGTCATTTATAATAAACTGAATATTTTATGCCGATAAATTTTAGTAGAGTTATAGCTAATTTTATCAGCAGATGTACAACAAACTTTAAAGTAAGTCAATTTATATTTATAAAAATAATAATACAAATATTTTATGCCAAAAAATCTTAGTACAAGTTATTGCTAATTTCATTTGCTGGAATTACAAGAAAAAACTTAAGAGTTAAATTATATTTATAAGTATAATAATAATATTTTGTGCTGATAAATCTTAATAGAAGTTATTACTAATTTTACTAACTGAATTATAAACAAGCAATGATTCTTAATGGAAGTTTTTGCTAATTTCATTTGTTTGAATTGCAATAAAAAATAAGAAGAGTTAATTTACATTTATAAAGATTATTAGAATATTTTGTGCCAATAACTTCATAGAAGTTAATACTGGAATTACAAAAAACATTCTTTAAGGTGAGTCAATTTAAATTCAAAAATATGATAAAAATGTGCCAATAAATCTTAAGTGTTATTGCTAAATTCATTTGCTAAAATTACAACAAACAATTTTTGAAAGTAAGTTAATGTATATTTATAAAGGTGTACATGTACTATTATATAAAAAAGGCAAAACTGTTATTAGTGGAATTACAAGAAACATTCTTTGAGGTAAGTCAATTTATTTTTATAAATATAATAGAAATATTTAATGCAATTCATCTGCTGAAATTACAACAAACAATTTTTGAAAGTAAGTCAATGTATATTTCTAAAGGTGTACATGTATTTTTATATAAAAAAGTAAAACTCAAATTGTATTAAAAATTTATTCTCGCAGGTTGTTACAAGACATGACTTCTATGTATTAATGCCCATACCTAAAAGTAAAAAACAAAATTAGTTATTTAATATAAAAATGACTTATAATAGGGTCACATAAACATAAATAAAAAGTGATTAAGTCATTAATTAGTAGCAATAAAATTGTATTGCAAATACTAAACAAGGGAGGGAAAGGAAATCTTAGATTTTGTGATGTTCTCATGCCTTTGGGCAGAGTATTTATTAATTATTAATATTTATTATGGTTACTTACTTTTGGAATTCCCACTCTCTATTGTCCAAAGGACAAACCTGTCTCGTCTTTAACCATCTCGATATACAATGAAAATGGAAAGCATGCTGTAACAGAAATAAACTCTGTGAGTACGTAAAACATAACTAAAGAATATAAATCATTGTATATATATTACATTGCAAACTCCCCAAGCGACTGTACATTCTTCACTCGTTGCAGATGCTTGATTCGCTTGACATTCTATACACAAATCCATAATGTGGTTTCGGCAAATAGCACAATTATCCACAACTATGTCTGTAAGGGGTAATAGATATATAAAATAACTTATAATATAGAAATGTCAGGTAAAATTCTAGTTCCCTGTCAAAGTTGGCAGGTGCTGAATATATTTATAATTATGAAAGTGTGAATACTAACCCCAAGCCCATAAAGCCACAGCATTCCACTGCAAACAAAGGTAATATTATAATTAATACTATATAAGTATGTAATAGATATTTTTTATTTCCTAACCTTTTTGACTTCGAATCTTTTCTTTTCGCCCTTGCTGCCGCTGGAAGTTGAAACTTCGACTTCTTCCTCATCGACTTCCATTGCAATTGCTAAATTTATTAATACTGTTTTTTATTAATTGTATTTACTGCAATTTTTTTTGGTTTGACTTGAATAAACAATTGAAATTTTTAAAATATGACAAATATATTTTTGATTGGGTTAAGTTTGAAGATGGAGGGACAGTCAAGTCAAAGTGTTGCCAACAAAGAAAATAATAATTATTCATTCAAAATTATGCATTCAAAAACGCATTCTTTTTCGAAAAAATACGAATTTTGAATTTTGTATTATAAAATATACAGTTCAGTATAAAATAATGTTGTATAAATATAAGTAAAATGCAATTTTTGAACTATACACCTCAAATATCGAAATCTTGTTTTTATTCAATTTTCACAACGCATTCAAAAACGTATTTTTTTCGAAAAAATACGAATTTTACATTTTGTATTACAGAATATTCAGTTGCAGTATGAAATAATGTTGTATATATATATTATTAAAATGCAATTTTTGAACTATGCAGCTCGAATATCGAAATCTTGTTTTTATCATAATGAGGTGCAAATAATCTTATAACTAGTTTTGTACAAACTGTAAAGTTCTGAATAAATTTTAAGCATTATTCCTATATTTTTATTACATTTGCAACATAATTTACAGTAAATACATATATATTTATCCTTTATTTATCCTTCGGTTTGCATATTCACTATTTTTATCCACAGTTACCTGTCCCTCCTTTACCATCTCTATGCTTTCCTCTCTCTGCTCTGGTAACACTACATCCTTAAGTCAGTTCAGTGCGAGACTGTGCTTCGGCATCGCTTGTCATGTTTCTGTTATCTGTTTATTTTAGTGACAAAATGTAATTAATTATTATTGTTTTGTATGAAATTACTTAATAAAAACGGCCAAAATTACATCTTAGCGCCAAATGGCGGCCGTGTCGTTGAACACTATGAACAATGTAGTGCAAAATCAATTAACTCGCTCTCTAGAAAAGATTTTGGAGGATGCTAATTTAAGTGGTGAATTAAAGTTGAGCGGACGAAAGTTGAAGGAGTTTCCGAAGGGAAAATATAATTTAAGTGATACAGTATTTGCTGGTAAGGGAATAAAATATTTATATATAGTCATTTTTGTATGCGCTTTTGTTTACGTTTACAGGATATGTTTACATACAACAAGAGTAAATTTTTGGTCCTTACTTTTGTAAATGTGCACTTGTCATATATTCTGACATATTTTGGCTATACCTGGTATATCAAAAATATTTTTTATTTGTGCATGTGTATTTTGTATAATTGAACATACAAAATACCGACATATTGTAACATTATTTATATATTTATGTAAAAAAGGGATGTACAAAAAAATTATCAATTCTACAACTGGAACTTCATCCAGAAAAGCATATTTATTCACAATGCAAATACAGTACAGTAGTCCTTCGTAACTACTTAAATATTACTAAAATATTTTTTTTTATACTTTTTATTATTATTTGCTTTTGTTTATTAGTCCTTAGAGATATGAAATGCTATATCTCAATCAGAAGTTTGAGGTTAAATACCTTCCTCGGACAACTTGATATCAAGCAGTAGTGACATCGATTTTCACTTGAAAATATAGATAGCAATATGTTTCCAAGTAAAAATTGGTCTTACATTATTGCATCAATAAAAAACTCATCACTATTGCAGATTAAATAACAAGTTTATAAGGCCCAATGGATTGGCCAAAAGCATTATAAAATCGTTTAAAACCCTTAAGTTCTTAACGCTGAAAAAATCTTAAGATTTCATATCAAAAGCCTTTGTTTCAACCACAAATTCCAATTTTTAAGAAATACTTGAGAATTGCATTGTAAAGTTTTTTGTCACATATTTTTGTTTCCTTAAATATCTAGTTTTTCTTTCAGAGAGTTTCTTTAAATAATTCATTAAATATTAAATTATATTTCTCTAATATCCACATCCACATATTTCAATTTTATTGGATTATACAATATTGCACATTTGATCAATACAATCTTAGTTTTTTTTCATGAAGTTTATTGGATTTTCTGATAACTATTTTGCAATCTTTTGAGAAAAACAAAGTAAGAAGGAACTAGGTGTAATTCAGTTATGGTGATACAATTTTTTACTTTTGATAATATTCATTGAAAAATAGTCAATGCAACTTCCAATTGTTATTTTTAAAACAAACTTATAGTATCTGTAATTGAATTATTTATAGGACAAAGTGCTTGTAAGTCCTACAAACTCGCTATGATCTTTTCTGATTCATCAATTTTTCTTGAAATATCTAGAAAACATAATATTTAGATAAACGTATCATATACAACCTTCTTTACATACCATATACCATTTTTATATATCCTATATTATATATTTCCTACACTATATATTTTAACTGACTACTTCATTCTTCTTTATATTTCTAACTTTGCTTCTTTCACTATATTCTAATTTAATTCTATATCAAATCAACAATTCAACATCTACTTCATTTCAATTTAACAAATCAAATGATAATTCTATATCAGTGCCAGGACTCGAACTGAGTATCCCTGGCGTGCGAGTCGGGCATGCTACTGACTGAGCTTTTTCCGCCACAAAACAAACAAAGAAAGAAAAATCAAAGTAACAAAGAAAAGTTTTAATCTTACGCTCAAATATCACTTAAAAGGGATATTTTGTGGCTACCTGCTACTTTTATTTTTTCTTGAAAAATCTTAATAAGAATGAAATAAATGTGTCTATTATATTAGTAGGTATGATTTATGTTTGGCAATCTCTGACTTTCGGAAACGCCCATTGGCAGACGTATAAAATGGGAAAATGGGAAATTAAACCCCTAAGGGACTGATTGATCGATTTGAAAACGAATGTGCCCTTGACCGTCATGCGGGGGAAATGCAGTTGTATTGCAAAAATTTTTGTTAGGTAATGGAATGTTACTTGACAAACAAATCAATATTTTAGTTTTACATGGTGGCTAATGATTGAAGATCGAGAGAGCTTTTGAAGTACATATGTCCAATTAGCATATTGGATATATGACATATGTACTTTGGAATTGGAATAACATATTGATTAGGGATCGTTCAAGTATTACGTAAGCATATTTATTACAATTACTTACCACCCCCTCCCCCTTGTCAGCAAAAGTAAGCAAAGCTCTTGTCCCCTACCCCCATGCTTACGTAAACATTTTGCAGTTTATGTAAAAAAATAAAAATACTACCTATGACGTAATCATCATCCAGGCTTTCCTGCCCCCCATGTCAACCCAAAATAAGCAAATCAACAACCCCTTGCCCCCCAATAGTGCCTACGTAATACTTGAACGGCCCCTTATGTGTCATTGCTTTAAATATCAGTAAATGTTGTATTACAGGTGTTATTCTTTGGAGTAACATACTTTCAATTTTTGTCTATTTCAAAACCAATCAACTAATCAATCTAGAATTTTCATATATTTTTTAATTAATTAAACACCCATTGGTGTTTTATTATTGTTTCATACGTTTTCACATAAGGCTTTCAAGAATTTATTATCATTTAATATAGATCTTTTTCATTTTGTGTTCTTGACCTCAGGCCTTCCTGACAATTTCTTCCCTATATAATCACTTTACTACAAAATCTTTCTTCCGTCCTCTGCCGAATATTGTGAAAAGCACTCGAGGGGCGCCCTGCGCCGAGGGCAAAGCCCTTCGCCGGTCGCCGGCCGCCGGCTTCGGCAGACGGGTCGACGGGACGACGGGATACGCGTGTATATGCGACGTCTGCTGATGCCGCCGAATCGATACGGTGTGGTATTTTCAAGAATAAGGACTCATAGAAATGCAATAAAGGAATCGAAAATCTACCATCAACTTTTGTTGCCCATTTACATCAATAACCAAATTTCATAAGCTGTTTTTATTGTTAAATAATAAAGTCAAGATGTACCATTTTCTTATGTTTTTTCTTGCAAATTGATTTACACAAGAAATATTGTTGTCAATTTGAAAAATCACTAATACAATGTTTGTATTAATAAATTTATTGATTCAAGACCTGTGTGTATGAGTGTCGTCTATAGACGACATCCAGTGTGTCGACAGTTGTTTTAATATTTATCACCCTGATTAAGAGTTAAATTATTAACTTTTCCAATTTTTATTGTGGTTTTTAGTTCGTCAGAAATATCATTTTTAATGGTGCATTTTTATTAATAATGATTGAAAAATCTTAAAATATTTTTTATTACAAATTTTGGGCCGGCTTGCTGGCTCGTACAGCAGTGTGAAAACACTTTCGTAGCTAAATGGTTAATGAACAATTCTGATATTTAACTGGGTCAAAGTTTAATATTTTATATGATTTTAACATCTTTGGCTTCAACTTCAACATTCAATTATTAGCAGAGTTTAAAAAAAAACAGTTTTTTTTAACTTTTACTCTTTATTTGTTAGGTAACGTAGAATTATTAACTTCCCGTAGGGTAAGTTATAGTAATCGCAAAAAAATCGAAAATGAAAATTTTTATATATCTTTACGTTTCAGAGGTTTCTGAACATTTTGGCATACCTTAGAAAAAATGGATGTATGTGTGTGTGTGTGTGTGTGTGTGTGTGTGTGTATGTGTGTGTGTATGTGTGTGTGTATGTGTGTGTGTATGTATGTATGTGTGTGTATGTATGTGCGGATACAAATTTTCGTCGACGATTTCGGGAACACGGATCAACCGATTTGAATAATTCAAAAAACATTCGATCCGTATTGATAAGGAGACGTGCTGATTAGTTTTTGGCAAAGGCAGGTCAAGCCGTTCCGAAGATACGGGGCAAAAAGTTCCGAAAACGGTAACTCAGTTTTTAAGAGAACGGAGCGTCCGATTTGAATAATTCAAAAAACATTTTATTTGTATTGACAAGATGAAGAATCGATACAACTTTCATAAAGGTAGGTCCAGCGGTTTCGGAGATATAGAGAAAAAAGTAAAAAAATGAGCCATTTGGCGGTCAAAAATGATCATTAGACATATGCACATCAAATTATCAGATATTTTATAGAGATTTTAACAATAAGTATACATTTTGTTAACATTCCTATGGGTTCCGTACCAATGCTTATGCGTTAGACAGCGACGCGGCGCTTACGCGCTTTATATTTTGTCCCTATGTAGTTAAAGCAGTACGATTGCTTTGAAAAAAAAGTTCAGATCTTCTACAATATGTCGAAATAAAGAAAAAAAAATTTTTTTCAAAAAAAATTTTTTTTTTAAAAAAAAAAATTTTTTTTTTAAATTTTTTTTTTCAAAAAAAACTAATTTTTTGTCCAATTTATAGTTTCTCAAAAATCTTATTTTTTCAAAAATGTTAATCGTTTTTAAAAAAAATAAAAATTTTTGGTACGGGAAGTTCCAGCAATTTGCCTTAAGGCACGATGCCCTAATTGCCTTGAGACAGAATTCCACTTACAGCTAGTTTTCATTTAAATATTTTTAACTTCCCGTAGGGTAAGTTATAGTAATGGGCCGAAAATCAAAAACGAAAATTTTCGCATATCTTCACGTTTCAGAGGTTTCTGAACATTTTGGCATATCTCGGAAAAAATGGACGCGTGTGTATGTTTCGTGTCCGCATTTTTTTTGTTTACGTTTTTGGGCGCACGGATGAACCGATTTGGATGGTTAAAAAAACATTCGATTTCTATTGTTAGGGAGATGTGCTGATTAGATTTTAGCAAAGGCAGGTCCGGCCGTTTCGGAGATACGAAGTAAAGAGTGCAGAAAATAGAAATCGAGTCTTTGGGAAAACGGAGCATCCGATTTGAATGATCCAAAAAACATTCAATTTGTAATGATTGGGGGAAGTGGTGCTTAGTTTTTGGCAAAGGCAGGTCCAGCCATGTCGAAGATACAGAGCTAAATGTATAAAAAATCGCGGTTTTGAGAGAAATAAACATCCGAGTTGAATGAATCAAAAACTTTCTGCTTGTGTTGACAAAACAATTGCTTTCGGATTTTTTTGTTGTATATTGATAATAATTCAGATTTTAATTTTAATTCTGGCTAAAGTTTCAAAGCTCACTTATATATTTTAAATGAA